AAAAGTCGATTATCACTTAAGCAATAATCGATTGTGGGATTGTGTGGTTTAGGCCAAGAAAATTCAGAAAGGCAGGATAGTCGATTATCAATAGTTGATAATCGATTATTTTGGTTTTCGGATTCTGCCAAGTAAGTTCAGGGGTGTCGGATAGTCGATTATCAGTGAAGGATAATCGATTAGCAGGGTTACTTGAGGTTTCAATATGGAAGGAATATGACTGGGGTGGGTAGGGAAGTTATGGGAAAACATTTTTTCGTAAATTTTGTCAATCACCATATGTTAAGGAAAGAATCTATTCTTGGAAATCATATCAAACCATTCATGGCTATGCATGAATCATTTTCTAACGCACGGCTCTATTAGGAGAGTTTCACATTTAATTATTTACTTACTTTTTGTATTTTAGGAAGGACTTTATTATGGGGAGAATTCCTTGTTACTTAGAGAGTTTCACGTTCCTTGGAATTTCTATTAGTATAGGTACTCTATTGATTTCAACCTATATGTACACGAATTTCCTTTAATAAATCTTTGTTACTCATTAATTTAAGTATGAACTTCATAAATATGGAAGCAACATAAAAGATTAATATATGTAGCATGGTTCTAAAATTCTATTTAAGTTAAATGAAAATTATTAGGCTTTTAGGATAAGAACAAAGCTTCTTAAATTGCAGAAGAAAGAGATAATCATTTATTAAGGTATGATAATCGACTAACAATGGGTTCAGTTTCTCGTAAAGATTATTGGGAGTTCAGGGAGGGGGAAAAGTCGATTATCACTTAAGCAATAAAGGATTGTGTGGTTTAGGCCAAGAAAATTCAGAAAGGCAGGATAGTCGATTATCAATAGTTGATAATCGATTATTTTGTTTTTCGGATTCTGCCAAGGAAGTTCAGGGGTGTCGGATAGTCGATTATCAGTGAAGGATAATCGATTAGCAGGGTTACTTGAGGTTTGAATATGTAAGGAATATGGCTGGGGTGGGTAGGGAAGTTATGGGAAAACATTTTTTCGTAAATTTTGTCAATCACCATATGTTAAGGAAAGAATCTATTCTTGGAAATCATATCATACCATTCATGGCTATGCATGAATCATTTTCTAACGCACGGCTCTATTAGGAGAGTTTCACATTTAATTATTTACTTACTTTTTGTATTTTAGGAAGGACTTTATTATGGTGAGAATTCCTTATTACTTAGAGAGTTTCACGTTCCTTGGAATTTCTATTAGTATAGGTACTCTATTGATTTCAACCTATATATACACGAATTTCCTTTAATAAATCTTTGTTACTTATTAATTTAAGTATGAAATTCATAAATATGGAAGCAACATAAAAGATTAATATATGTAGCATGGTTCTAAAATTCTATTTAAGTTAAATGAAAATTATTAGGCTTTTAGTATAAGAACAAAGCTTCTTAAATTGCAGAAGAAAGAGATAATCATTTATTAAGGTATGATAATCGACTAACAATGGGTTCAGTTTCTCGGGAAGATTATTGGGAGTTCAGGGAGGGG